GGGGAGCATGGGGACGGCAGGCCGGCCCGCTGACCGCCTTCCGCGGGCACCGGGAAACCCCGGTTGCGGTGGGCCCGGCGGATGGTGGCGGAAGAAATGGCCTCGCAGGTGGCAGCGGCTGCACCGGTGCATCGGGCCGCCCGCCTGCCGGGCGGGAAGGGACGGGGGTTCCATCCTTCAGTCGGGCATCCGTGGCCTTCCGCTAGTGCCGTGGGTTGCTTCCCCGCGCCGAGGTGTGACATCCTGCCGGGAGCCCCCGTGGGTGCCCAGGTGTCCCCATTTCCAGGGTGTCACCCGTGCCGGCTCTAGGTACGAGCTGCGCTGCCCTCTGGTCATGGCATCCCGCAGCTCTGGGAGAGCCACCCCGTGGCACCAGTGCTTTGCATCCTTGTCCCTGCTGGGCTGTGCCAGGGGATGCTGCAGCCTCGGGCATCCTCGCATCCTTCCCATTGCCACACCACCGCTGGCTTCGCGCTCGGTCCTTGTCAGGCTGGGAGCCAATGCCAGTGGCATTTACGGTGCTCACGGAGGCTTATCAGCACTTGGCAGACCCCGAGGGGAGTGACAGCCGTCCGGCCCCTTGGGCACACCCCCTTCCCGGGGCACGGGATTAGTACCCGGTGTGAATTCAGGGCCGCAGGGTGGGCAGCTTTTGGCTGGCTGGCGGTAGGTGTGTGATGGGGAGGAGGTCTGGCCACTGAGCCTGCACTCCCACCTTTGAGAGGTCCCTGTGCCATGCGAGGAGCCAGGCTTGTGGCAGAGATGACATCTCAGCTCCCCTGGAAACGCAGCCACTGCTGAGCAGCGCATTGGTAGTGGGGTGCAGGATCCACGGTATCTGCTGCCAGCAGCCTGTCTGCGCTGGAGGGGCTGGGGGCTCACACCACAGCCCCTGGATTCCTGCCCCTTATCTACACTGGCCACGCTCCTTCCTTATGTCTTAAAGTCTTCTGCTGATTGCTTCAGAGTCATGGCAGCCTAGGGATAGGCTCTGGGGTGTTTGACTGCTGCTGGTGGTGGTTGGAGACCCTCAGTGCGGGTCAGGGGTCCTTCTTCAGCCAGCAAGGGTACTGAGCACTGGTGTGGAATCTGCAAACACCAGTGCTTGTTGCACAGACAATCAAACTGGTGTTTTGCAAGAGCGTCTGTCCCTTTCAGTGGGGTCAGGTCTCAGTGTTCCCCTGGGGCCTCCAGCAGCCCCAGGCTGGGGCAGGGGTGAGGGCCAGGAAGACAGATGCCTGTGCCCGTGCACTGTCCAGCAGCACCTGGCACCCGGCAGAGCCCAGCGGCTCGGCCCCCCTGCGCTGCACGTGCATGCGATGCACCGGGGCAGAAGGCAATCGTTTCCCATCTGTGTCCTGCGCGGCAGCTGAGCCCTGCGCTGGCCCCGCTCAGCGCCCAGTCCCGGCGCTGTCGTGTGCTGCAGCCACTTCAGCTTCATCTCTCGCCGGGGGAGAGCTCAAGGGGCCCCCGCTCCTGCCCGCGGCCCCTGACGCCCACCAGCCGGGGGGCCAGCAGCCAGCTGTCCGCAAGGTCGTCTGTCCACACCGGGTAAATCTTTAACTGCTTCTTGGGAAACACCTGGGAGCCGCCACTCGTGTGGGTGCCAGGGGGTTCAGAGACGCTGCAGGGGCTGGGAGCCAGCAGGAAGAGACCCTGCCACCAACTCACCCAGCCCCAGGCCCTGCGTCCTCCACCAGGAGTCCTGCTACCCAGTGGGCAGGTAGAGGGGAGCGACTATTCTGGCACAAGCCCCCCAGTTCCTGGAGGGAGGGGGAGGCCTGGGGTGAGGATGTGCCCACCTCACCAGTCACATCTCTCTTGCTGTCTTCTTCCCTCTGCCCAGCTTGCTCTGACGGTGGATTGAAGGACGCTAGTGCCGGTGCCGCAGCCAGCGCGACAGAGAGCGGGCAGGCAAGGGACCCTGCACTGGGCAGCCGACACCGTGCTTCAGCCTCCAGGAATGGCTGATAAGTGCAGCGAGGGGCTGCTGGTAAGTGCAGGGGTGTGGGGAGCAGAATGGTGTGTGCCACTGCCTCGGGGACCCAGAGAACCTGGCACAGGAGCCAGGACACTGGGGCTCCTGTAGGACTTGGTACGCCCTCCCGGGACCTCTGTTTGGTGTTGTGGCACCGCGGTGCTCTCCCAGCATGATGATTTTTGGGCTGATGCTCTCTCTCCATGAACCTGTTGCCTGTGGGACTCTTCGGGTGTGGTGTCTTGTTGTGCCTGGAGATAATACTGCCTGTTTTCAGGCGCTCTGCCCAGCCTTATCACCCACCCCAGCTCTGCAGACAGGCAACTCTACAGCCTGTTGTCAGCAAAGGGTACAGGTGTTCCTTCAAGCCAGGTGCCCCCAGAGGGGCATAGATTGTGGGTGCTTCTCCTTTGCCTTCACCCAGTGGGCTGTCTGAGACTGGGCTGGTAGGATGGTAGAGGAGGGTTTCTCTGGGCACCAGTGTAGTGCCTGAGCCTCCATCCTCATAAGCAGTGTGTTGCAGGGTGCTGTGAGCTGCTGCGCACTTGTGTGTGCCAGGGGTGGCTTTGGTGTTCTGGGCAGATGTTGGATGTGCCTGCTGCATGTCTTTGCTGGAAGGCTTCAATGGCCCCATGCTTGTGGAAGCTCAGGTTCCTGTGATAGGCTGCTGTGCTGCCTTGGGCAGGTGAGACCCCAGGCTAGGCTTGGCTTTTTCCCTTTTTCCCAAAGGATGGGAGCTGAATGCTGAGATTGACACGGTCACTGGGCCCTCCCCTTCCCGGGGGGCTTCCTGAAATAGCTGCACACTCCAGCTGGAGGGCTGGGAGCCAGGGTTTGCCTGGGAAGCCAAGAGCCAGGGGAGCGGCATGCTCCAGCAAGTGCTTCCAGCGCGCCCGCGTGCACGCCGTTCCTCTGCTTGTGTGTCCCAGCATGGCCCCGCCGGCTGTGCCTGCAGCAGGGAGCTCAGTGCCCATCCTGCCCCCAACAGAGAAGGGGTTGGGGCAGCTGGTGGAATAGGAAGGCAGATTTCTTCTGGAGAAGCCCTGTGCTGGTAGCAGGGAGGTGCTGAGGGTGTATCTGGGCATAGTCAGGGGTCTGTCTTGGGAACACACTTCTGCACATGGCGCTTGCCTTGACTGCATACCATTGATGTTTTCTTGCTATGACCAGGGCAGTCAACATTGCACTGGGGCGTGGGCTGAGCCTGACACCCATGTCAGAGAGCCAGACATTGGAGTGCCCACCCACTCCCCATAAATCTTTAACCTGCTTCTCAGAAGTACCTGACCAGCCCACCTGACCATGCCAGGGCCAGGGTGTCAGGTCCAGCAGGGTCTGACACATGCTGTGTTTGCCACCCTGGTCTCTTCCTGGGTTCCTGTTTGCAGGATGCAAGGATACTCCTGCACAGAGCATTGCTGCTATGGGGTCTGTGGGAAGAAGGGTAGATCCCTGTGAGAGCATCCCTGGTCCTGAAGCATCCCCATTCCTGCATCCTGTGAGCCCCAGGAGGAGCTGCAGTGGGCCAGGTTCTGACTACTGAACTCCCTGAGTCCCTGGGAAAGGAACATAATATCCTTGGCCTGCCTCCAGGGCCCTGCCAGTAACCTCGTAAAGTTTGGTCCCTGCCTGTCCTCTCATCCCTGCCTGCAGGTGAAGCTCCCACCTCCACCACCCCTAGTCCAGCCAAGCTCTCACCATGCAACCCCTGCCCAGCATTGTGTGCAGTGACTGGGGCTGGACAAGTTTACAGTGGCTGCTGTGCCCCACCTGGGGGAGGGACAGGGGTGATGGAAGCAGCAGGTGGGTGATGTGTGGCTATGCCTCAGTTTCCCCTCCTGTCACCTGGGGCCTGGAGAACAAGGGTGACATGTACTGCTTCTGCAGGATCTATGTTTTTGGGTGTCCTGCTGAAGCTCTGAATGCTTACTTCAAAACAGGAGGCAGATGGGAGGGGCCGTGCCCACCCTACTTCTCCCAAGCCCCAGAAATGCTCTGATTGTGGATACCCAATGGACTGCAGGGCAGCTCCAGGGGCTGGATCAGTCCCTGTGCAGCTGGGCAGAGGGGATCCCTGTGAGCCACAAGGGAGGGTCTGACTGCCTCTCCCTCACAGGCTTTTAAGGACATTTTCTTTTGTTGTCCTTGGGGTGCTTTGTTCAGACTCAAACATTGCCAGTGGCTCCTGACTCCCAGGGCTGTCTTGCTGGCACAGCCAGGCAGCCTTTGGCTGCAGCTTGCCCAGCTCAGGTAGGTTCCTGCTGTCACCCAAGGCCACCCTGACTACACACTGGGGTGCTGCTCCCACTGCACTGCAGGGGGGTAAGGGCTGGGGGGTCCCTGCCTGTTCCAGACACCCCCAGCGGCGCAGTGCCACTGACCAGCGGCAGGAGCTGCGGAAGTGGCTTTTGGCTGCGGGAGCCCTTCCCGGAATACCAAGGGGCAGTGATGGGGGGGCTGGCGGGGGATTTTTCTGCCTGAACGCCCCAGGAGAATCATGTCTGCCCTGGTAGAATGGGGCCGGAGAAAGGCAGCCCTGTCGGGAAGCACTCAGCTAGGGGATAGTGGCACTGGGACAGGTCCCTGGGCATCATTCCTACCCCAGTCACCCTGCAGCCCTGTTGGGGGGCTGGAAGACCTGCGGACCACCCCCCATGCACCCATCACCCCTGTCTCTAGTTCAGCCCCAGCACCACCAGCCAGCCAGGTTGGAGACCAGAATGCCAGGCTAGGTGAGGGTCCTACTGCAGGCTCTTTATTTCTAGCAGCGTGCTCCGTGCAGCTGGCTGTCCCCTCTGTCTGCTGGCTGGGCTGCCAGGGAAGTGGCACTTTGCTCCCACAGGGAAAGGCTGGCACAGGGTCTGGCATCTGCAAGACAGGGCGGTGGGTCCTGCTGTGCTGTGCTCAGTCTACTCTAAGGGGCAGGGGATGCACCATGCCCAGGGCAAGACGTGGTGGTGGCACACAGGTGACCCAGGCAAAGTGTTGCAGCTGAACTGGATCATGGAAGGATGCCCACAAGGGGCCCACGCACCTTGCAGGGTGTTCGAGCACAGAGCTGCCAGGCTGCGTGTAGGGCAGGACTGAGCTGGGGTCACTGGGGCTGGCACAGCATGGGGTGGCTCTTGGCTGGCACGTCTTAGGGGGCACAGTCGGGTGCTGCCATCCCACGGGTGGGACATGTAGCTGGTGCAGGAAGGGACAGGAACAAGCCCTGGGTGCTGGCATGTGGGAGGTTGAGTGCCCACCCCGCACACGTGTGCTGTTCACGTGTGTGCCCACGGCCGCTGCTGCCCGGACCCCAGATGGTCGCCTGAAAGCGCCGGCCCGTCCCCCCGCCCTCAGTGCACCATCATGCGTCGCTGGCGCCTTGGCTACACTCCCCAGCCGGGACACGGGGCTGGGAGCAGCTGGGGCACCCCGAGCCTGGCTGCAGGGCACCCTCTGCCTGTCCTCCTACGGGACACACCACCCCACCAGGGTCCCACCTCATGCTGGCAAAGGGGTGAGCAGGGAGGCTGTGGGGTGCCTGGGCAGTGAAGGGGTCGTGGCACAGCCCTCCTGCCAGCCAGATGGTCCCCCTTGGGGCAGTGACCTTGTAAGGGTTGCCATGGAGGCCCCATGATGTCACCAACAGTATGACGTTGAGTGAAGTAGCATGGCACCAGGCTGGAGATGTGCCAGCAGAAACGCTTGTCCCTGTGCCCCTATGCCCAAGCAGGGCTGTGCCCTGTTCCTGCAGCCCTTGAATACCCAGGGCTGGGATTGGGCATGCAGGGCCAAGCTGCTGTGTGGATGATGGGCATAGGGGTGGGAATGCATGTGCGGGGCTTGGGATGTTGAGGCATGGAAATAGGGGGCTCTGAGGGAATGTCATCCTCTGCTGTGCTCCAAGAGCAGCTCCTGGCCCCGACCAGACGGGCAGCGGTGCCCGCAGGGAGGGCAGTGCTGCCCACTGGAGCGTGCAGGGCTGTGAGCAGCTGGACCCCGCTAATGAGGCCTCATTAAGTGGGACAGGGCTGAGCCCGCTGTGCTCTGCCTTGCCCTGCCTACACGAGCCAGGAAGGGCACCTGGCTCGTGGGGGTACAGCTCGTGGGGGGTAGCAGAGGCACGGCAGTGCCTGCAGGGTGGGCCAGGCAGGCATGGTGCCAGGGCAGGTGGCATGGTGGGGTGCCGGTGCTGCATCGGGGCGGGCAACAGGGGGCCGAGCCTGGCTGGGAGGCAAGTGGGGAGCAGTGCCAAGCGCTGGAGGCAGCGGGCGGGGGAAGGCGGGAGGGCGGGCGGCTGCTGCTGCGCCGGAGCCCGAGGTGCCAATGAAGCTGGGGACTCACGGAGCCGTCCAGCCTGGGCCCCCGGATGGCAGCTGCGAGCAGCCAGGCCCCCTCGGACCCTCTCAGCAGGTCAGTGGGCAGGTGAGAGCAGCGTCTGGGGGGCAGAGTGGGGGGCGGGCCAAGTGGAATGGTGGCCGTGCCAGTGCTGTCCCCCCGCCACTTCGCAGACTTTTGGCTCTCCAAAACCTTTTGTACTGTCTTCAGGGTGGTGGCTCTGCAGGGCTGAGCTGCAGCTGTAGATTTGTGCCATGACAGGCTGGAGAGGTACCCCCACGCCCCACAGGCTTTGATGTGGGGTGCTCCAGGGAGGGAGGGCAGAGCATGGCACCAAAACCCTCCATGGCCTCAGTTGTGTTGGTAGAAGAGATTGCCTGACAGTTGTGTGTTTGTTATCCCTGGAATCAACCGATTTTGTAGAAGACGTGCACAGCACCTGGGTTGCAGCTCAGTGTTGTAGCGGCACTGTAGCAAAGATCCTCCTTCTGCCTCCCCCCCCCTTCCCTTTCATGGACATTAGTGAGCAATGTCAAAGTTTGCCCCAGCCCCCCATGGCACCCCAGGGCAGTTTTGGTGGCTCGTGGAGCAGGCTCAGGGCTGTCACTGGGGCTGGAAAGCCTTCTGCAGTGAGGGATGGTGAAGTCTGTGTAATAGTCCTGGAAGGTCCTGGGGTTTGGGCATGCCCCTCATCACTGCATTACCCTAGCCCTGGGACTGTCCCCAGCACCATGCCAGATGCCTTTTCCCCCACAACATGCCTCTGGTACACTGGGACAGGAGCAAACATGGAGCTTGGCACTAAAGAGAGAGGTTAGGGAGAGTTAGGATATGCTGGTGAGGCTGTCAGAGTCAGGATGTGCAGGGCACAGCAACCTCTGATGTAGGGATGACACTTGTGGATTCATTACCCCATGTACCAGGGACAAGGAGTGCAGGGCTTGATTATAGGGCCCCCAGCACCCAGGATCAGCAAGGGCACCCAGGACACCCCCTCTCTAAGTGACCCCATCCCTTGGGACCCCCACCTCAGGCTGGGTTTCATCAGCCTCCAACATCCTGCACCCCACTTTCTTGCACCAGAAGAGCCACTATTGTGGTAAAGGATGTAATTAGCATATTTTTCTATCTTCCAGCAGCCCCTGCCTAAAACAGCTATGAGTTTGTTGCCATCGCCATGGCAATGAGCAATGGCATCAGGCTGATGACATCAGGGGTACAGGTAACCTCTGCTGGCATTGCAGGACCAGCCCTGACAGCCCTGCGGCTGGAGGTTGGATGGAGAAATTGGGGGTCCCTCACTGGTTCATGGGGGCTGGATAAAATTTGTGCCCCACACAGTGCCTCTGCTGGGCTGGCATACCCCCATATGGACAGTTTGAATTAGGAAAACAGAGGAGGGGGTTGATGCTGGAGATTCCTCCCCATAGGACATCCCCTTCCAGTATCAACCCTGCCACCATCACAAGATTAACAGCCATAAATCAGGGCCCCTTAGGGAAGTGGGGGGCATCCGGGCACCCCAGCCAAGCTGTCATTGTGTGAGGCGATGCTGCTTAGCATGAGAAAGACTTTGGTGCCAGGCAGAGTGATGGATGATTCCTGCTTTGCTGGGCTGGGGAAGTTTTGGCCGTGGTATATGGGGGGTTCCCTGGGGAAGGGGAGGAAGGATGCCCTGGGCACCCCAAACGCCTCCTTTTGGGTTGTTTTGGATATTCCCTTTTGGAACTTCCCTTCTGGAAATATTCGGGGTGCCTGTGGCATCCTTCCTCTAGTCCCTGGTGTTATCACCCAAGCCAGGCATCCTTTGAAGCTGCATTGGATTACATGCATGGAAAATTTGGGGCCTGGGAGCCTGACCTGGTCCCCCCAGAGACTGCACTGTTGCTGGGTGGCAGCTCTCCCTTTGAATTCCAGCTCTGTCCCCTTCCTACAGCAGGGAAAGGGGAGAGTTTCATTTTCCCAGATGTCTGGGTTCTCTCTATCCACCCCTTCTTTTACCATGTGGGGTTGGGAGGGTGGTTAATGAGTGTAAAGGACAGGATGACCTTCCTAGTTTTGGGGAGGGGGGGTTGTAGCGAGCTGATGGGTGAGCATGCAAGTGTTTGCGCACGTGTGCTCGCTTGTGCATGCATGGACACACATGTGGCCGCCCCCTTATTGGGGACAAGTGCACCAAAGCCCAGTGCTGCAGGAAAGGAGGGAGCAGCACAGGCCTGGCAGTTTCATTGCACTGGTGCCAAGCAACTCAAACTTGGGGTGCTCCATGAGGCTTGGGAGTGAAGCCAGGGTGACCTGAGCAGAGCAATGGCTTGGAACAGGGATGAGGTTCCTTGTGGGCACCAGGGATCCTGGCTGAGCTGGGGCCATATAGTGTATCTGGTCCCCTCACCAGACCCTTTGTCAGGGAGGCTGGAGCATTGCCCCCACTCCTGCTGGCTCTGCTGCTCATTAGGAGCCTCGTTAGTGCGAGCAGCTTAATCAGAGGCTTCCCGATCGGATCAGTCTGCTCGAGTGGGCAGCGTGCCCTGGCATGGGGACGCTGCCAGTGTCCTGTCCCCACTTTGGGGACCCCTGCATCCTGCTCTTGCACAGCACCCCACAATGAGAAGGTCTGCTGGGAGGGAGATCCCCCAGCACCTGGAGCTGCCGTGAGCTGGTTTCTGACGGGCCCTTGGCTCACAGGGTCAGGTGGGGGCACTCCGGTTCCCCGGCTGGGCACGGCAGCGTAGTGTCCCTACAGCCCTGCCCAAAGTGCCCTCCGATCCCCCCTGGCCCCTCTCCTGCAGCCCTGCTCCCCTGCAGCCCCCCCGCAGCCCGCGGCGCGT